ACAGCGGTTGAGCAGGGGATTAAACTTTGGGCCACGCGGTACGGGAGGGTGGCAATTGGGACTTCTTTAATGAATGAAAATCACCTTGCCGCGTGCTCCGCTAGCCTGGCATAAAGGGTCCATCCTCGAGTGATTTTAAGATAGGGCTGATGGAGAAGAACAATCAAGGAATGGAGGCGTGGAAGGGTGATACGACATTAAGCCCGGTCTTGGAGACCTTGGGCGCCTTGGGGGGCCCGGCGAGCGGCATCCACCCGCTTCGGTCTGTGTGTCTGAAGAGCGGCAGTCAGCCGAAAGGTCGAGAACAAGAACGCCACGCGGCTAGGTCCCGATCTCTAGCGAGGACCGTCGAGGTGGGCTGTGGCCCAGCGGTCCCAGCGGACGAGATGATATCACGGCGGAAGTCGGGGGGGCGGGACAGAGGCAAGCCGCAAAAGGAGGCGCACCGCCGCGAACAGCTTGCTCTGCCAGAAATTTCTCCATCAACAAGAGCAAGTCGGCTCATGTTAGAGTGGTGTTCTGTGCGCGAGTCAGCGGGCGGACAGGGACCGGGGGACTACCACGCCCGATGGTCTCATATAGAATGGAGCAAGTGTTGCATCAGTCCGGCATCGTGGATATTAGTCTACCACTAGGCCGCTGACTACGGATCAAGCCCGAGCATTAATCTCCGCCATTGAGCAGAGAAAGCCTCAGAAAAGACAGGCAGAGAACGTTTCCGGACGAGGTGACTGACTCTTGCCAATTCTTGAGGCAGGAAATCTGACCCTATGTGGCATGTTTGGGGGCTAAGTTCCGTCAATATTCTGTCAAAGCCATGTGCCGGGCAGCGGAAAGCCAAGAGACCCAAAGACGACATTCTTATTACTGTAAATCGCTTCAACGTAACGTGGGGGGGATTCGGTTGATCAACTCAAACTAGCGGCGGGGCGAAGTCCTGATTACGATGATCTCGCAAACCCGGCATTCTTCCCACTATTGTGATCTTTGGTTCTTGAATAAATCGGGTCTGCACAACGATATCCATTATCCGTAGGTACATCCCATCATCCTGGACGCCCTTCAACAGGCTGCCAAGCCCGTCTAACCCGGCCTTGAATCCTGGAGGAGGGGGACCATTGAAGTATACGTGTAATACGACTGTGGCGGCACTTACTAGTGCTGTGATGCTAGTAGCCGGCGGACCAACGGTCAGCCCATTCCCGTTCTCTTCACGGTGAGCTTTTTTGCTCCGATAAACCCCCCCAGCCGGGGAGAAACTCGTAAAGTTCAACGCCGCCCGCCGCCGCTAGACTCAGTTCAGTGAAGTTCGTTGAAAGCAGTCGAAGGAGACTAGCAAACGTCCGTATTGAGTTGGGATTCGATCGGCTAAGCAATCGCTCCCGTCGTTGGTAGCCGTTGAGAACATCTGAGCGCAAAAACAAAAAGTTGTCACTGTCAAGCTGTCAAACTCAAACAAAACAAACTTCTATCAATATCGGCTGTCCAGAATGTACCTGAACAATTACAACGCAAGACTTTTGGCGCTCCACCTGTTCCCTCGGCATCTCTAAATCCTGCAGCAAATCTTCAGCGGCACAGCGGCACAGGCGAATCTGGGTCAAGATTCCAGACGTCTCCTCTCAGGCTCTCGCAAATCGGCCCTCCTCGGCTTCTAGAAGTCGACAGACCACACAGACGAAAGAGTACGTGCCGCACAAGCTGCGTCTCTGCTGCGAGGAAGAGCCCCACGGTGGATCATCGCAATCACACATCTTATGGAGATTCCTCGACAGCCGACGTGCATCCGAACCACCACCAGGGAAAGTTGGGGTTCGCAGCATCCAAACTCCGGAGGTCTCAAGCCCTGATCCTTTCATCTAGGACCATCTTTTTTCTCTTTTCTTTGCAAGGCTCTGGCCGCTCTACAAGCATTGGCAAGGTCCCAGACTCCCCAGAGACTGGTCACGCCCGCAAACATTTCTGAGAATGGTATGATGGTCCTTTCACACAGCAGGTCAGTACCTCGGGCAAGCTGGGATCGGGAGACTTTGCGTATCAAGCTAGCAAGGCCCCCTATTCTCCCCTACCTTAGTGCGATGAGTACGTAGACGTGAAACCGAGAAGATAATAATGTTCATGATCTGCCCCCGAATCTGCGCTCCTCTTCTCGAGAGGCTCCTTTTTTTCCGTCGTCTCTCTTTTTCGTCTCTTGTCTTGTCTTGTCTCCGTCCCGTCCCATCGTCTCGTCGACCCCCCGGAGCCTCGGACACTCGCCGGCCATGGACGACCCGACGCTACTCATCCATTGGCTCTTTAGCTGCTTGGCTCTTATTATCATGGTGGCTCGGCTGGTCTGGAAAAAGGTGCACATCTCCAGACAGGAATACAACCTGGGCGACTGGTTCACAGTCGCCGCCATCATCTGCGCTCTGACGCGGCTCGGCCTCATCCACGTCGTCTTGACTTGGGGCACGAACAACGTCTCGGCGGCATATCGAAAGAATCACACGTTTACCGACGAGGAGATCTACAGGCGGGAGATCGGCAGCAAACTGTCCATTGTGAACCGGGTCTTTTACAACTCCTAGTCAGTGCTGCCCCCATTTGCTTCACCGTGCACCCTCAACCACCCTGGACTTCAGCGCTCCTTTGGGCCGTTTGGTCACAATCTGCAGCGGTTTGAGTCAGGAAGGTTATTAGACTTTTACGATCAATCATACTGACATTCTCCCAAGCCTCTGGCTTCAGAAGCTCGTCCTGTTGGATGTCTATCGTCGACTGTTATTGAATCTTCGTTTCGAGAAGATCACCATCTGGTCATTTTCCATCATCTTCTTCTGCACCTACGTCGCCTGCCAGGTGACGACGTTCAGCGAATGCAATCCCTTCCATCTCTACTGGCAGGTTGTTCCTGACCCAGGTACGTGACTAGCCAATTCTCCGAACATGCAAGACATGCCGATGGGATGGAACGAACTCTGATTATTGACTCTCAACCCTTGCAGGCGCATGCTCAAAGGCACAAATGCAACTCGTCGTCGTAGGTGTCCTCAACATCGTCACCGACTTTATGCTACTCGTACTACCACTTCCCCTGGTCTTCTCCTTGAAGACGCCATGGCAACGCAAGATTCAGCTGTACGCCCTCTTCACGCTCGGCGTCTTCATCATCGCCATTACCGTCATTCGACTTCCGATCAACATTACGAACAAGGACAGTCAAATCAACCGAACGACATGGGCTAGCACCGAACTGCTCACCGCCGCGATCGTGGTCAACGCGCCGACACTGTACGGATTGTGGAACAAGAGGAGACAAGCAAAGTCATCGTCAAAATCTCACGGCGGAACATCGGGACTGCACTATTACGGTCGAGGGACCAATGTCTCTACGCATCGGTCCACCGTCCGGCGCGGAAACGCAGAGGAGGAGGCTTATGCCATGAGCACCCGACGCAAGCTGGGTCCCATGGAAGGAATTATGCAAACAAAAGAGGTGATTGTGTCGGAATTTAGGCAAGACACAGATCGCAAGGCCGGGCCCTACGAGCATCTCCCTGATGATTTGGAGAGTGCATCAAATCACTCGAGTCAGCATGGGATATTGAAGAACTAACGAAGCGTAATTTTCTTTGTTTAAAACCTACGTAGCTAGAATACCACGAATTGAGACACATAATGACGCTCAAGATTCCAGATTTCGTCTTCGTGTCCCTTTCAGAGGATTAGTTTCTTGCTTCCTTCCAGGTCGCAAAGGCGGGCCATGGTTAGCAAGCATACCATCTTTGAGATTGACAACTTTGGCTGATGTGTCGCTAGGGTGCTGCTGTCGGAGATGTCTTATTAGTATCCTTCTAGAATGGAGGCATGGCCCCGTCATCCCGCATAACACTATGCACAGACTCCCTTATATCCCGAAAGCATCAGACGAACCGCTCGCCAGGGTTCAACCCTTCAGTACAACAACGCTCTACTCAACTCCAAACCACCAATCTCAAAAAAGTGGAAGGCACCTGAATATTTTCTTTCAACCTCATTTTGGTCATCGCAAGTTGACTGAAATCAAGGGGTTGGCAGAGAATGCGTCGGGCATTGGGTCCAGTGGGCCGATCGGTATTTTCGGCCGGCTTCTGAGTTAGAAATCAAAGATGGCTTATGACGTCTAACGTGCGACAGGTTGGTCAGGCAGACTCCAATGGACAAATTCGCACGCAAGAACTGAGGCCCGCAGCGAGAGCCTTCAGGTTTTCATGCGAGAAAGGAGGCTCTGCGTAGCCTGCTGCTTGAGCCAGAAGAGTGCTGTTGGTGAGATGTGACAGTTGCCAGCTTCTCCAATTGAACTCTGCCCAATGGTTGAGACATGATGACGCACCTGTGTTGACGGGCAGAATTATTGGTTATACGGCTAGTCTCTCACAGAAGAAGACCACCAATGGCACACTTTCTTGTTGTTGCTTATCAGGCAGTCTACGCAGGCCGCAAAATCCGTACATCCGCGGTGTCCCTTTCCGACTGTTTTGGGCTGCGCCATGGGCTGGGCTGGACCTCATGATGCGCATTTCCAGGGATGCCGCATAAGCGGCCTTCAGCTGCAGCTCAAATCCTGTGAGACGGGGCGAACCGTCGCAAAATCATCAATTGCGGTAGTTCACCAAAGCCTCGTCCTCGACTTTTCCGCTTCGTTAATCTATTTACTTATGTCTCGTTCTCGATGAGAATGTCGTCTCCAGTCGAAACAATGGTCCTTTAAACTACCAGACACCCTTCACCGACATTTGGTCTTGACACGGCTAGTCGCCGCCGTCCACGTGCTCACAACTCCGGCGCCGGCTCGTCCACTTGCGACCCACTTCTGCCGGTGATCAACGGAATCTTCCTCGGCGGGGTAGCATCACCAATCTCATTCTCAATCCCAGCCGTATGGGATAGGATTCTTGGCGAAGACTTCGGACTTTGATGGTCTCTGTCGCACTCGTCATTTCTTTACGTGGTGTTTCACGGGGTGAACATCTGTCAAGATGGCCGACAGCAATTCCAGTAATAGCCCGAGCGACAATAGCAACAGCAATGGCAATGCTAACGGAGGGAGCGACGTAGTTGTTGCGATTGTTGCTCTCGTCGTCTCGGTGGTCGCTCTCTTTGCGGCTACTCTACAGATCATGCAAGCGATCTTTGCGTCGGCTAAAGGGCTTCCCAATTGCACCGAAGACGTGATGGGAGGATGGGCGAAAGGCACGACAAAACGGCCAAAGTTCAAGGAGTTACGTCTCGAGGTTAGGTTCGAGGCGCCAATCATCTTTCTGGCCCCCCCAAACAACCAGAATAAACCTGAAAAAGGAGAGATGTGGTCCGTGGAGGGCACTGAGAAAAGTTGTACCAAGAACCGACTCGAATATGCCAAGATATTCCCAAACCCTGGACCAGCCAACGGAACCAACGACGAAAAGCCGTCTAAGCCTACTGAAAAGGTCCACACTGTCAACAACGAGCTAGCAACGTGGGTCTATCTCCTAATCGCCCTTGAAAGAATGGAGAAGGATTCCAAAGAATGGGAGTGCAAGAAGCTCCAAGGGGAATGGTTGCCAAGTTCCATCATCCCGGACCTGCCTGAGCCGACTTTGGCCGTGAAAGTACAGGCGAAGGAAAGAAGCTTCGATGCGAACCCCTCCATCAAGAAGCCCTATGCAACCTCTACGATCTCTCATCTGGTCGAGCTAGCAGCAATACTTGGACTCTATTGGAGAGTCTTCGACCGAGACAACAACCAGTACCGCGCGGAAGGAAATGGCTATAGTCTGACTGGCTCACGTGTACCCGACTTGGGTGTCGTCTTTGTTTTTGAGAAAACCGGTCCCACTGTATTTGAGGAGCGGCGAGTGATTCCGACATCTGAAGTGAAGGAGCTCTGTTTTGGGCGAGTGCCAACTTTCTATCGAGTCAAGAAGGATCCCGACGAAGACTTGGAGTGGCAGAGGGAGTTCAAAACGTCGTCGGGAACTGGAACCAAGGTCGAAATCCTTCAACTGAGCACTCGCGATGCCATTGCGGAGACTTTGACCCAGATAGGATGCAACGGCAAAACCACGCTCTTCTACAGAGAAGGAAAGAAAGACCGGCACCTCTTTTCTGGTATGTAATCAGTTAATCGAGTGAATCTGTGAGAGTTTGTGCATGTTCGACTGACTGTAAGGCAGTTACCTTCGAGGTCATCGGCATGCTCGCGCGAGTTTTGCACATTGAAGGAAGGTGCTTCCGTTTCCTGCCCAATCCAACAATCTTCTCTTGGGACAGAGATTCGTTATCACTCCAGCGTCTGCTCATCGCTTTTAGCGGACTGTTGATGAACGATCTCACGGTTGTTGAAGAAGAGGCGGAGACTGTCATCGATGAGAGGGTTGAAACTGCCGTCGAAGATATTAGGGCTCTTTCGGAGTCAGCGGAGGAGATGAGCAACGATTTTGACGAGAACCCGCCTCTAACGAGCAAAAGAATGAGTCTCTTGCACAAAGCCATTGATATGGCAGACAAATCTCTCAAGAAACGAGACCAGGGAATCGTGCTCGATGTGCTACGTCGTCACCTCCAGGAAGTGTTGGCAGCCATCAACAGTCCGGATAAAAGGGGGAAAGAACAGATTTCGTTTCGGGACCTGCTTGGTATTCCTCTGGAGATGAGAGAACAAAGGTTCATGGAGACATACTTCGAGCGCATACTATGGCGTGTAGTGCCTACCAACTCTACTAAGAGGGGTAAGCGAGATGACGAGGTCGTTTCAAGAGCTATACACGACGACACAGAGAAACGAAGATCCCGCTTGGGTAACGGCTCACCCCAAGCCGACAGCGCAGTCCCTCCGTCGCCGTCGAGACTTAACCCCGGAGAGTCTCCAACCAAGGCTCTAGACGACTCGACGCCCACGCCCGGCATCAGCAGGGTCAAGACGTGGCCTCATCGCATCGAGACTGAGCAACCTGGTGATCAGCCGGAACTTCCGCAGCCAAGCAAGTTGTCAGAGCTGCCACAGTGGGAAACGATAGTACCCAACCATATTGAGATGCAGCGTTTGGCAATATGGTATACACTTGTATTTAGGATGATTTGTTGGTTGATGTTGCACGACTTCGACAAAAAGGATGTGCAAGTGTCGAAAAGTGAGTTGATTGGGAACAGACAGCCCGTGTTCATTCTTTGAGCTGGGCTATGAGGGTGTTTGAGGCGCTTATTCTCGAGCTGGATTCCGATTCCATCGCTCTTTAATGCATTCAATTAAGTTATGAGGACCTTGCAGTTTGAGATCCTGATGTATTACTTTTATTCATTGTTCACTGACCAATGGAATGAAGTATAAGCTTTTCTGTGCCGGTGAACCCTAGCCGCAAAAACGCGAATTACCCCACTGGGTGTTTGGATCATGCCCCTCACTAGACTTCTCAAATTTTGATTCTTCACATCCCTCCCAACGACACGTGGTTGGCAAAGAAAAGGCTGCGAGATTCATTTCAACGCTCATTCGATCCCCGGATCTCATCAAACGACACCATGACATCGTCATCAGAGCAGCCCGCCGCCCTAGAGGATGGCCGACGCATTTATCTAGGCAACCTTCTCTACAGCATCCAGCCCGTCGACATCGAGGAGATGCTGAAAGACAATGGCTTTGAAGGGTACGAAAAGATTCACATCTCCATGGATCCAGTATCGGCTCGGAATCCCGGATACTGCTTCGTCGATTTCGCTGAGCGCGCAGACGCCGAACGGGCACTATCCTCCCTTGATGCGCGTCTCCGCGGTAGACCACTCAAGGTCGGCCCATGCGAGCCCAAGAAGCAGAACCGGAGCCGCTGGCAAAGCGACAGAGAGCCTTCCTTCAACAGGTGGGGAGACTGGTCAGGATCGCGGGGTGAGGGCGGCGACGAGGCTGGCAGATCACCAGCGCGGAACGGTAGGAACGGCGGCATCGAGAGCGGACCGTACGGCGCCATCAAGCACTTCGACGAGGTCGTTGCGACGGAAGGGGATGGCAGGAGACTCTATGTTGGAGGATTGGGTGCGATGGTTGACCAGGCACAACATCAGGATGAACTGCAACAAATTCTTGAGGGCCACAAGCCGTAGGAACCCCCCCCCCCCCAGTCGCCAGCGATGGTGAACTTACCCTATGCCGCCGCTGACTTGACTCCGACGATAAAGACTAGCCATCAGTAAGCGTATCACTCCCCATGAGTCTACCAGGGCCAAGGGCGGTGAGCACCACTACTGCTTTGTCGATTTTGCGACAGCTGAAGAGGCCGATGCAGCAAGAAACGCGCTGGATCGCAAGGTCTGGGGAACCGGCCGTCTGCGTGTCAACGTTGCTCGCGGTCTGCCCGACAAGCTCAAGGATCGTACGACGCCCTCGGATGTGCAAAATGAGAAGGAAAATGGTGAGCGCTCGGCTTGGCGGAAGCCCAGATATGAGAATTCGAATCGCGACAACAGCGCGAGATCTTCTCAACCACTTAGATCAGCAGCATCGGGAAATTGGCGACAAAAGGAGCCTTCGACCTGAGGACAATTTGTGGTGCGATGGAAATGTTGTTGGTCGTGGATTATGGAAAGTTTATGCTGCATGCCGGATGAGTCTACGGCAGGCTGGGCAGATTCGTGAGAATTTGCACAGCCACCGCAGGCACACTCCGGAATACGTCAGGTCTTATAAGACCTCGGAAGCTAGTTCTCGGACGCCCGAAATGGTCACCGCACTTTACATTAAATACCGAAATCCGAAAAAGTTGACACTTGTGCATTTCTTTTAGACAGGAACTGCAGGCTCTGCCTTCTTTCTGTGACTGTCAGGTCCCTGCTTAATCGACTTCCATTGGAAGAACAAACAGCAGATGAAGGCACAAGCAGCACAAGCCAGGGTGATGTAGAATGTGTCTCGGAGACCCTTCATATACGCCTGGAGGATAATGTCAAACGCATCTAGTCGACCCATTCTGCGGAGTACATCCTTGACCTCCGAGGCACCACTGTTGATGAAGATGGTAGGGTCAATCCCGATGTTGTCGGCCTTAATAGTGTCAATGAGGCCGTTCTGGAAGACTGTTTGGGCAACAGCAATAAAGAGAGCCCCCCCGAGAGCTTGGAAGAACTGAACCGCGGCAGTACCGACAGGACCCCATTCCTGTGGTAGTACAGTCTGCACGACCAAGACACCAACTTGAAAACCGGCGCCGAGTCCAAGGCCCGCGATGACCTGGTAGCCGAGCCACTCTTTCGGGGGCGAAACAACGTTGAGGACAGTGAGCATGCCACTACCAACAGTAAATAGAATCATGCAAGGGATGATGACAAAATTATAGTAGCCGACAACAGTAATAACGCCCCCCGAAACGATGGCGCTGAGAACGGTTGAGAGTAAGAGAGGTAGGATCTTGATTCCAGCCTGGACAGCGCTCACACCCTGAATGGCCTGGAAGTAGAGAGCTAGGCTGTGTTAGCAGAGCGCTCCAGGAAAGGAGCGACAGGAAACTTACAGAGGTAGTAGATAAGGGGAAAAAAGCCGGCGCCAAAGAACATCGCGAAGAGCATTGCCGATAAGATGTTGCGGTTCTTAAACAAACGTGGAGGCAGAGTTCCTTGGTCACTTTTCCAGAACTGAATGCCAATGAAGATGGCGATCATGACACCGAAGCCACAGAAGAGACCGATGATGCGCGAGTTGTTCCAGGGATAATCGGCGCCCCCCCACTGCAGGGCAAGAAGCAAACAGATAATGGCGGGGATGAAGATGGCGGCACCAGCAAGATCAAGTTGCCGGACACGTTTCATGAAGGGCGTGTTGCGGGACTCGGCCGAGTTATGATTGACATGGACGAAGAAGAAGACGATTAGCATGGCGAGGCCGCCGATAGGGAGGTTGATGTAAAAACACCATCGCCAGGTAGCATGGTCGGTGAAGGCACCTCCAAGAAGAGGCCCTGCAACGGACGCGATTCCCCACATGCCGCCGACCAGACCAAAGGCAAGGGGACGCTTCTCCAGGGGCACTACGGGAATGTTAGTGGGGGCTCATGTTGGTGATGTAGGCCGTGGTGACATACTGATTAGGGAGATAATGACAATTGATCCAGAGAAAAGACCCGCGGTTCCGATCTGAGAAGGTCAATCAGTATGAGCACAATAAATGGTCCATTGGATTAAGAAGGATAGCATACTCCAGCAATGGCACGACCGACAATGAAGACAACTGAGGATGGCGCAACGGCAGAGATCAAACTGCCAATCTCAAAGACGAAAACGGCTGTAAGGTAGGCAATCTTCACATTGAAGAGCTTGTAGACAGCTCCGTACATGGGCTGGAGAGCTGTGGTGGTGAGCAAGTAAGAGGAGCCATACCAACCCTGAGACCTATTAACGAATTTCTCTGCTGGAAGGTTTCCAATAAATAGCTCACAATATCCTTGACACTTTCGAATTGTGCCGTAATTGCACCCAGCGCAGGAGCAATGATAGTCTGATCTAGAGCAACAAGGAAGATGGCAAGGCACAGTGAAGAGATAATCAGCGCCACCTTGGCGGTCGAAGGGTACTCGGGCTGGTCGTTGTTGGCCTGATCAACACTAGAGGCAGAGCCTCCAGCGGTGAAGCCGGCGCGCTGCTCGACGTTGGCGGTGGCCTCGGCCTCGAGCTTGGCTCCGGGGGAGAGATCGACAATATTGGTGCCGACTTCGGTCTTGCCATTGGACGAGAGACGTTTCTTGTCGAGGACGGCGGCTGTGGTCGCTGCAGCGGGAGTGGTGGTTGTGGACATTGTGGAATTTCTAGTCAATCAATTCTTCGGTCGGACGTAGAATTTTTTGGTTTTGGAAGGGTGGGGGGGGGGGGGGGGGGGGCGTTGGGTTTTTAAACAGGCCCTCCTTCTTTTTTTTTTTCTTCCTTTGGTGGGGGGTGGGTTCGGACTGGTAGTGTGTTATGAGATGTTTTTGGTGGTGGGTGGGGAGGTTTGGGTGATTTTATGGGCGGTGTGTGGGTGGGGGGGGGGGACTATGCGTGTTATCACAAGCTCGTCCTCTCTATATCTGTCTCTCCTTGTCTGGAGCTGGATCTTGGCGCCGTAGGCGAGTTTGATGTCTTCTCGAGGGAGTATTTGGTCCTAGGTTGATTACCTCAAGAAGCTTCAAAGAACAACGGAAACAAGGAACGAAAAGAAAAGATGGACGGATCACAGGATTGTTGAAACAAATACGTTAGTCCCGAGGTTGAGACGTAGGCTCGTTGCATTGAGAGAGAAAGAGGAAGAAGAGAGGAGGCTAGTGGACAAACTAATTAGGGATTATTGCTGCAGTGCGTAGGGTATTCCTCTAAAGATGAGCGGCGGCTGATTCAAATGACATGTTACGAGGAAGGGTAACAACTTGATCGCATCCTTGTCTGTTGTGTAGTATCTTGACGGAGTAACGCACTAATCCCTCGAGGATCTACATAGCAGTACGTGGGGGGTTAGACTGGTCTGCCGTTGAGTTTTGACTATGATTCCTAGTCCATGCCGCTGTGGGCTGCGGGCCGATCCGTTGGATGTACTGATTATTTTTCGAAAAATGTTTTTAAAGTTATGGATAGTTATTTCATATCTTTTAGACCTGGTCAATAGCCTCACACTCCTGCCATCATCCCCTTGTTGACTTAGTTAGTACAACTTCCCCAAGCCGGCTTCTTCCGGATCAGTAAACTAAACTAAGGAGAAGCGCTCCAACCGGCTGCTCTTCCCCTTCTCCCTTTGCGCTTTCTATCTTCCCTCTTTCCAACGTCTTTTCCTGGTTCCCGGCACTTAACTTTGTTGAATCATTTTGAAATCATACCCGCACCCTTCTCGGCATGGTGTAACCTTTGTCTAGTGTAGAGTTCACGAGGCAATGGTTATCTTGTAATGTTGACGAAGGGGCTGGCTGGTTTACCGGTCGGGACCTTAGGCTTTAATGTCGGGTCTCAATGGCTAGACTCATCATCCATTGATCTCCCTACAACTGTAACACGATGAAGTTGTCTCAAATTAGCTGAAGGGACCAAAGTGACTCCATGCTCGTGGTACTATTCTGGGCTCGTGCAATGTGATGCCCCTCTTGTGTCGGCACGTTGAAGGTCTTCATTCAAGGTAACCCGCCTGCTAAAGCTAACCTACAAACCTACAATACCTAGTAAACTCGCCATCTGCCAGCAGCGCATCAAGTTCTTCTGGCAGCGTGCCAATGACAAGCTCAATCCCACCGTCCTCGCGCAGTGGATGTATAACCAACATGCGGAATGCCGCGTTGATAGCATCCATTTGCACGCGCATTGCAGATGGCACGCCGCCATCATCCAGGAACTCGTCTCCGAAAGAGATAGCACTCGTCTGGAAAAGCATCAAATTATTAACGGCGGTGTGCATCCCCTCCATCTCCATGCACGCAGTAGTCACTTTGGTGTAGTCAGGCACTGACTGCAGCAGCGTGAATGCATCATGGACTAATGAAGGCGTGATGTGGACAGCAGCAGCGCGGAGCACCTGCGAAATCTGCGCCACTGTTGTTTCTGTGCCGCAGAGCGTCGCCACCGGCATGCTCGGCCGGTTGATGACGACGAGGTTGCCCATATACGACTCTGGCAGCAGCTTTGAGAAATAAGGCCTGGCATCGATAGGCAACTCAACGATGGCCATCTCATCCGTTTCAAAGGTCTCGTCGCGCAGCTGTATCGCCACATGGCGACGCGCTTTGACGGCCGCTCGCCAAACGAATGCTTGGATCATGTCGCTGTCCGAGACGAGGCCCCCGGCTGCGGGGTCAGCCAGAACGTCTTGCCGGAGCTGCTCAATCATTTCGGTCGGAATGATAAAGGTGGATGAAGCCAAGTGCCGGCCGTTGGGAAGGGGTTTCGGCGGCCATTGAAAATTCCGGGGGAAGAACGGAGCCGGAGGGAGCGACGACTCGGTGACGAGGTTCTTAATTTCGGTCACACACTCCGTCCCTGTCTCGGCCGGATCCGGGATGTCGATGAAACCCCATACGTTCTTGTCTACTTGGTCTGCCGGTTTCGCATACCCCTCCATCTCGTATAGAATTTGCAGAAGATTACGGTTCAAACTCTCTTTGTCCAGCCAGGCGCACGTCGCCGAGGCATCGCCTTGCACATAACGACAGCATTCACCCCAGATACGCATCACCATAATTGTGCCCGTGCCGTCGAAGCATTGGTGGTGCATGTTGATGGCTAGGATACAGCCACCAGTGATAAAATTGGCCTGCGCGACGAACAAGTCGGCCGGCAGCGGCGGCAGCAACGGGCTTGAAAGTATGACATCATCTGCAAAGCCAGAAGACGCGAAGCCACCGGCACGAAGCTCCGCAAAGGACGGGAGCACCGCCGAAAGGTCTTGGTAACGCAGTTGTCGTGGCCTGGATGACTCGGTGCTGCGGTTCGCCGTCGCCGTACAAGGCATCGGGGGAATCGAAATGCGCATGTCACCCTTCTTGTACCCTATCTCGTCCTCCGAACAGGGCATCAGCTTACCCTCGAGCTCGGGAATGAGTATCATGGCCCGACGCAGCCCTGCCTGTAATCGTACAAAGACGTCTTCAAAACGGGCGCCCTTGCGGAGCTGGTAGAAAAACTTCATGCCCAGATATATGTTGGGGCTCATCTGGTCGAAAGGGCTAACCTTTTGTGAGAGACGCATGCGGTGCAAATTGATCATGCGGTACATCTCGGCGACGTTGTCTGCAACCGTTCCATTCGAAGCTGATCTGTCAACCGCCTTCCTATGCATGTCGGCCACCAGCTGAGCCAACGTCGCTGAGAACTGGCGGAGTGTAGGGCTGCCGTAGAGATGCCTTGGGGCCAACAGGTCACGAAGCCCGGTGGCTACGCGAAGAGTCTTGATAGCACGAAAAACGAGCAGCGAGTCGAAGCCCATGGCGAAGAGGTCATCGTCGGGTGTGGCCTTCTTAACAGCAGGTGAGAGACTGCCTAAGACGTGACGAATGGCATCGGTGATGGAAACAATAGAACTGGTGTCGATAGCTAAGAACTCGGTGTCTTGGTCCGACCGCGAGCTATAGAAGCGCTCGATGTAATCAGCATACGCCTCGAGCGTGGCCCGTCGCTTCACCGTTCCCTTATCAGTGCGGGAAAAAGGTGTATCTAGTTCAGCGAAAGCGACGTAATCACTTTGCACCTGATTTTTGTGCAACGACAATGCGTTGGCGCGTTCAATTGTGGCCCAGATACTATCCCATACCACGTTGGTCTTGGAAGTTGGGTTTTCAAGCTCGATTAGAAGACCTGCCTGGGGCTTCCCTGCTCCGATCTATGAACGTTAGCTAGGTTCGATCAACATGTAGGACGGAATGACTTGCCATCAGACAACCCTTAATATCAGGATGCGTGGTGACCAAAGCCTCTGTTTCCAACGGTGAGATCTTGTAGCCATTAGACAACACAACGATGTCGTCATTGCGCCCTTTGTAAGCCCATAGATTCGGCTTAGTAGGGTGTTTGGTGTAAAGATCTTTGAAGTTGACACTCCTTTCATTCGGGAAAGTATGAAAGATACCTTGGAATAGGGGCCAGTGGTCGTTGCGATGTACCCAATGTTCATAGACGCCTGACTCTACTTCCTTGAACTCGAACCCGGAGAATGGGTGAAAGGCAAAATAATACCAGTCTTGTTTCTCTACCCATAGATTCCCCATAAACAGGCCTTCTGTAGTACCGGTCAGGTTTAGAACTCGGACGACGTCGTTTACTTTTGATCCGATAAGAGGGCTGACTGGGCCACCGGAAGCGCAGATGAATTTGGATTGCTTGAGCTTGACCAAAACATCGGGCGTTTCACCAAGCTCATCGACTAATGACGGGACCATGCTCCAAATATCGATCTCTGCATGGTCTGCAAGTGATTCTATAAGGTTCATGTTAGGCACTACACCTTTAGGGCCCATGATACAGTGTAGACCGAAGAGAGACGGCAGGAGGATGTTCATGATGATACCGGCGCCCTGTGAATGTGATCTCAGTTAGAAGGGGGCCTTTGGTTGTATAGCGGGGCAGAAATACGTGACTCATTGGAAACGATGAGTATATTCTATCCCCATCGATCCAATTGTTTGTCCATGGTGACAGCCCGTCATCTCCTTCGACATGTGGGAGTAGTCGCACAGCATCCATTGTACCGATCAGGCCGTGCGACCACGCGATCGGCTTTGGAAGGCCAGTCGATCCGGAGGTATGAAGTAAACAAAATGGGTTTTGAGAAGCTTCGTCAAAAGTCTTAGTGTATGGGTACGATTCAGTCATCTCTGCATTGAGCAGTTCGTCCAATTCTGGTAAATGGAACACCTTCATACTGCGCTTCTGCAGGATGTCATCCACCAGAGGACATGAATACCCGCATGGGTTGACCCAAACGCTGCATTTTGCAGCTTCAAGCACTGCGAGTGCGCCTTCGGTGCTATTTTTGGGGGACAGAAATAGGGCCTCCATTAAACGCATTAGAAACGTGCGGCTAGGTTTGAATAGCTTGGGGTATTTCACTCACAGTGCAGCCGACCTTGACACATGCATACGTCAACAGAACGTGCCGGAGGTCATCTTCTGGAGTCAGTAAAGCAAAAATCCTGCCAGCAATTGGTTTCTTCACTTACGAGGTCCAATGTAAGCCGCTGCCCGGGCAATCCTTTCTTCACCAACTTGACTATGCAACCACCAAGCGGTCTTGTCAACTGCCTTTGCAAAAGCTCGAGCAGATATGTGTTGGAACCCATGAGAGATATTCGAGGAGTTTGCCACCGAGTATATAATGCGGTGAGGTTCGACAGAAGCCAAACTGTCTAATATCTGGGGAATCAACCGCCGACCATATTGCTCTGGGACAGTCATTGTTGCAAGGTGTCAGTACACTATTTGAAGAGATGCTGAACTGGAACTGTCAAGAACGAAACCTGACGAAAAGGTGCTGAGAGTAGGATAGTAGAAGAGGAGCAACTTTCGTAGGGGATAACGAGGTCTCGGGCATCCATTTGACGCCCATATCCTGCCTCTTAGCACGAACAAAAGGCGTGAAAAGACAGCCAGATTCATTGGTCACTTAGCATGATAACTTTGGTCTCAGCACGTTTGGTGATTCGCCGCGAATCCCTGCTATCTCCTGAAAGATTGACAATACCAAAAGATGCGGTACTGGGCGTTAAATGAACGGCAGGCGCGCATGGGCCGGACTAACGCCTCATATGCTGCCGATGAGCTTGAAAGGCCAAACTTTCAATTTGAGTTCGAAGCGGCAACCTCGTATCGGGAACACCCAATAGCGATAATACAATGTGAGGCGAGACGAGGACGGCTGCACACACATCACCATCGTTAGTCTATGCTACTTACGAAGAATACAACCTTCTTTTCGTCTGTGAACCGAGAACTGTGCCGATCCTCGAAGGGCAGCATATGTAGATATCACCCCTGGCATTTTGGACGCCCGTTTCGATCAGCAGGGGTGCGAGCCTTCGTCCTTTCGTATCAGTCGAGAACTGCATGAGCTAGCAAAAGTAGCAAGTCCAAAACCTAGGTGCGGAGAATTGGACTCATGCCCTACCTTGTCTTACCTGGATGTACATTCACTTGAAGATAGTTGCTCGGAAGATGTGGGAAGTCCCGCTGCAGGTCTAGACGCGTGGCTGAGAATTGGGCCTCGCGGAGGACTGCCGGAGCACTCAACTTCGTGCCGCGGTTCCTGTGATTTTGGCCGCACCTCTGAACGTAACCAGTTCCGTGTGTATTCGCGACACAATTTGAGTAGGACATCAGTAACCAACGACTTTGGAGCTCTCTTCCACATGTCCGCATACCTTCTCAGATAGCCCATTATAGACCAGTGGCAGCAAATGACTTTGGGCCGACTTGTCGAGAATCAACTGCACCTGTGTGGCTGAGCATGTATTTAAAACCCTGTGCTATTCTCTCAGTCTTACATCACCCGGTCAATTTCTTCTGGATCATTCAATTTTCCCTGCACACAATCTGCCACTCAATCCATGGATTCCGACTTGAGAAGCTCGCTACATGGCAAAGATTTCGCTCACGCCACTGATGCGATTCAGAAGATGATATGGAAGACGGATAAGGGGGATGAGACGTCTGCCAGGATCCTTGCCATCATTTTCGAGTATGCTCTCGACAAGATTGACAATTTCAAGTACCGGCATGCTGCCGGTATGACCAAGTTCTTGTCCGTCATCAACGGGTTCGTCACAGCAGATAAGCCGATTGATATGTGTCTCCCGGCATTTCCGTTCAAGTCGGCCAATAAAGCGTACAAAGTCCTCGGCTTCCTGCCAGACAAGGCTGAGGAGCTAGCCCTCCAGCGGCTTAACACCATATGTCTACGGATACGAGATATATATAGTCCAGGTGCCAGGATCACTATTATTTCAGACGGTCTGGTCTACAACGGTGAGTCACCCCATCTTATATACTGGCTTTGCTAAGATGCCCTTGATTGCAGACTTACTATGTATCCCAGATCGCGATACGTGGGCCTACGGCGAGGCTCTACGGGCTATGGCTGTCAAGAAAGGCTTTGGCCGGATTAACTTCTCCTGCCTCAAAGAGCTACTTCAATTTCCCCTTCCTGAGCAGACGAGCGAGATTGTCTACGTTGCCAATGCGACCAACCTTCGCCGGTATCTTTTAAATAAATATGGCAAAGAGGACCTTGACATCGACTACGAGATTGCCACACAGCCTGATACCCTGATGACCTATTGTGGTTACAGGAGGTTTCTTGAATCGGACTTGCAACACATCTTTCCAACCGGCAAGAATAGGTCTCACAACAGCTTTAAGCGAGAAATCAAGTTCCTCGCCAAGGAAATGATGATCCGCGGATATGTGCGTTCTCTACTGTTTGGGGCTGTGAAAGCCGCCTTGTTAGCGTACCGTACCTCTGATGCAGAACAGGCTTTCGCTGGCGCTATCAAGGCTGCTTTCCCCAACCATCTCCGCCTGTCTATCCATCATTCCACAGGCGAGAATAAGGTGTCTTTGAGTTTGCTACACACCGAGACGGGCTATACGACGCCGTGGCACTGCTGCGTGGCGCTCATGACGAGTGGAGAGTGGCTGAGCGCCCCTATTGGCACGTTCAAAGATGATCCACGGTTTGATGTTGTTTATGAGGATGAACGGCCTAGCTATTTCCGTGAGAAGCTGAGTCGGAACGAGGATAGAAAGTAAAAAGAGGAGAGCAGTACTTGATGAAGCCACTCAGCCGAACATAACTCTGACTGACCTGCAGAGCTATGTGCTTCAGCCTGTGGAGGTCCAGCAGGATGATGAGTGTCTTTGCTCAATTGACGTTGCTTTGTGTATTTGCACTCGTTTAGCGCCTCACAACCTGTACGCATGCAGTGAGCCCAGATATCTCAGCTCTCCGGAGAGCTCAGGAAAGCATCATGCAGGCCCCTTCCATGGTTGGAATCACTGGAAAGGTTATATATACGCTCAGCTAAAGGCTGGTTCGGTTTGATCCTCGGCAAGGCGCCGAAAACTAGGACAGAGCAAATGTCAGGTGCCGCCTAGGGGAGGGTGAGCCTCCGGGGCAGCGACGGGGGAGCGCCGGGGGAAGCGGCGAGGTCCACTTGGGACAGAATATCAATTCCGTGGCGAAGCATTTCACAAAGCTGGAGTCTCCACACCGTAGAAAAGGAGGTAGATTCGAATGATAGGCATGATTTGCCTCTAGCTTTGTAGAACTTGTTATCTCGAATACTCTGTCCGAACCCAGCCCTCTGACATCAGGCCCACCATCAATTTGTCACGGTCAAAACACATCGTTACTGACGCGGTTTCGCTACGACTCAGAAAATTCTCGGATTACGACGTACTCATTACTTTCGGCTCATTTGCTCAAACAATTGGCCGATTCTATGTTCGAATGGAGCAAGTGGGTGCTCCTCGCCGATTCCTAGATCGGTCAACTTGTATCGGGGGTTGGTCGTATGCATCGCCATATAGCCCCTGACACTATCGTTCCAGGACTGTTCGTATATGCCTCTTCCCTTAAGGATCTTCTCAACCCGCCTTGCTGATGCTATCGACTCTCGGTTTACTTCCGCTACCACAGTCATCACTGGCTTGCTAGTACACGTGGCGCGGTTATGAACATAGTTTCTCGTGTCTCCGCTTAGCTCTTCCTTGTAGAAACTGGAGAACGTCAGCAGCTTGCTCGGACTAATAGCGCACCTTACTTACGACAAGACGTCGTTAGATATATTAATAAAATTAGCCATGTCTGGGATTGCCTCTAGAAAGGCTCCCACATCCGGGTATAGCGCTTTGGGATAGCAGAACACAGCATAGGCCTGGTCCATGCCCGACATGTCTCGATAAAAGTCTGGGAACTTTTGCCCTGCCGGCGTGACAGACATGTGTTGGAAACCGCTGTGTCGTTCCAATAAATTACTTGTCAGGAATTTGAGCACCGAGATCTGGAGCATGTTCGCTAAGACGGTGTCGAAGTGGTCGCGGGCTTCGCGAAGAAGTCCGGCAATTCCCTCAAGTAAGTAGTTTGGCTGGGGCTCGCCTCGGAACAATCTTTCATGAAAAAGGAGCGCCTCCTCCACCATCTGGTTGTTTTGCCCTACGATATCGTCGTACTGAACGACAAGCCAGGTGAAGAGTCCGACGTATCCCTGGACTTCAACCGGATGCCTGGGATGGGCGAGCTGACTGATGTTAGAATCACATTGCAAAGAACAACAATGGAACTCAACAAACCAATCCTTCAGCATAACCCAGACGAAACCCCTTCGCAGAGATGTGAGTATCAAGAGGAACTCCAATCTTCACAGCCCTATTGTACATGTACGCCAAGAGTACCTCAACAGCTTCACCTTCCAGCTGTGGGGCACCCGGATAGTTTAACTGTTCTAGCATTTGAGAACAAATGGGGGCAACAAGGGCAGCCAAGCGCTTTGGCTGGTCAGCGAGGTCATCTTCTTGTCTGACGTGTTTTTGGAAGACCCTATTCAAGGGACTGGAGAGCTGCCGCCACATGGCCCGGGCACCGGCCTTTGTACAAGACATTATGAATGAAAAGTAGTTGACCTTATGAATGAGAGTGATGTGAGAAAGAGAAAGAGAAGTGGGGAGTTAGAGCTAGTTCGTCTATAAGAAGAGCGTTGATCTGTGTGACATTGGTGTTGTTTGACGGAGGAATGTTGGCTTTATATGAGAAAGCCGATGTAGATGCTAACGGGCACTTCTATCTATTTCAATATGCTGGAAACCTTTTCGATGGACGTCTTAACATGTCTACATATCGTGCAACTTCTGCTCAAGATCCCGCCCCTCTAAGGTAGGTCAGGGAGGTTTAGCGGTTCCTCGTTTCCTGATATTGTCTGGTCTAGCGACAATCGCGAAACCTTTCCAATTCGGTATGGAAATGCCGCCTAGTCACACGTAGTCACCCTGCATCTGCGTGTCTTAACATGGTCTAAGTCAAGGAAAGCAGTGACTTCACCTCCGGTTAAGTCACCTAGCTGCACCTGTAGAAGCAATCATCCAGACCTAGCATGTGACAAAAATGGAGCAAAAGATACTTGAATGATGTTTCGATCATTTGAAATTTGGAAATAAAACTGTCAATAATTGCAGCTATTCTCTATAGTTAGATGTAATAACATTTGATAGCCGCGATTTTGTTGATTCTGGTGAAGAAATGGGGATGGGGGGGAGGGGGCATCTAACCCCCTGGACCGTAATTGCATGGCCTGACTATTCCTTTCAAAAAAGCTATCATGCCTTCATTGATGACGGAGCGAAACGTAGCTTTTCATCGACAGATGCAGCCACGGAACTAGATTCTGCATTACTCCTCTAGCAAACCATTAAAGTTGCATTGGAGCACCCTGTCTTCAACACGCCACGATTAGGGTTCTGGGGTCTCAGTGTATAGGACCTTGAAGGGGCAAGATGAGGATCCATCGGCATGTTACAGGAAGTAGACGCCGTAGTCAACAGCCCACGCGTGCAGATAACCGACATATACGAGTAGTTACCGCGATAGCGTAATTGGGCGAGTCTTCGTCATAGATAGTAGAGTTTCTTACCTCTGTATAGAGTTACTTCTGATGTCGACAGGATCATCGTCAACGGCCGCTCAGTTACTATCACGACGTACGTCTTGCTAGCCCCGAAGCATGTTCGTGCCGTCTTTTATCTGACTATATCGCAGCGCTATTAGCATATACCAGTTAGATAGCCTTATAGAGTACCATAGCTTCCGTCTCGCCTAACTCTTCTTGATGTTTCGGAGGCGCTCTACGGTATCCACGATCTCCTCAGAATAGAAAAAGGGCCCACCGCGGGATTACAGTAGCCACGTCAGCAACAAGGTACATCATTGCTGGCCCGCGAAAAAATCGCGGTCGAATTGAGTTTGTGCGAGGTTCGTTCTCACGCCCGTGAACGCACTGGCGGAGTTCAATGTTCACGTTGTGGGATCTGGCTAGGCTGAAGATGCCATCCAGGCGATATTATGCGTCACTATACGAAATAATCTTGGGCCGACTCGCTCGGTTCTCGTTTAGCTCTTCTCAATCACGAGGAGGTGTGTTGCGCCGGGGAAGCGCTCCGGCATATTATCTACCGCCCTTATTCCGTCCGGGGTATGCCAAATCATAACTGTTAGAACTATTAAGTCTGGCGTTAGCGGGGTTCCTAAGCCTGAATAAACTGGCGCTTCTACCAAAATAGGCTAGGAAGAAAGCCAGTACTCTCTAACGGGCGTAAAGGGCTCCAACAACAGTCTTAACAGAAATAAACAAGCGTCGAGGTATAGCAACGGCGGAAGGCGGCCATCCAATCACCACCGTACGTAGCGTACTAATCTGCCCAACCTTCAGACCAACCAGTGATGCGACCCACGGCAGCGCACTCCTCTTCTAACAGCGGGCGCGAATCGAGGCGACGTACCCTGCTTCTAAAGGCGATAACATAGGTGAATATGATTAGCTCGCCCTATACGTTGATATATTTAACTTTATGTCTGAGAAGAAGTATCGTGAGAGTTAGTAACGGAGTGACTAGGGCTAAGTACTTGTACAGTGTAGGCCGAGATGCATAAGTAACCGTAACCTAGTCCGCATCGGAGGGCACCGGAGCCGGCGCAACGCCTACACCTTTCGTCAACCTACCCAGTCCCCTTTCTTCAACCCGTCTTCAGGAGGAAGGATATCAGGGAAGAGCTGATTGTGAAAGCGAATGAGAGCTATGTTGAGCTTATTCGACAATTTCAAGAGGATGAAGTAAACCAAATAGAGTTCCTAGAGCCGCCCTTGGTTGATATGGAGGAGTGTCTGGTAGACCATGTTCATCTGAACGAGAGGGGGTATCAAGTCTGGGCCGAAGTTCTGTCCAAAGCAGTCTAGAACGCCATGCAATGATGAGCTTGGGACTGCAAATTTTTGATCAGCTACGCCATTGCAAGCGTGATAGTACTGTTTCTGGCAAAATATCTGTACCATTGGCTTTCGTAGAACCGTGAGTAGCATTAGGCTGGGGACCAAAGAGGCTCTTGAATATGAACACTTTTGAAAAGATCCACCCTTTCGACCATGATATCGAACCAGTCTTCCTATGGAGCTTCGGAGATAGTTGCACAATTGAGGGTAAGACCAGAGCCTTTCCTCCTGCATTTTCTGTCCTCCAGCACTGTGATACCCTATCAAGTTTGTTTCTCGTTGCCTGAGACAATTGAACACTAGACACTCCAGATCGTTTCATGGGCGGATTCATGAATACTCGCATCAAGTTCAGAAACAATAACATCATATTAAAGAAGTCGCTCAGCATATCCAAGCCAATGTTGTGTCTCAAGAAGACCTTTGCAAGATCTGATCACGATGACTCAATGAATGAGAAGATGCCAACCACCTACGACATCAAAATAGCAGTGGCAGCTTATAGTATCCAGCGTCGCGTGCTGGAAACGCTCCATCGCACGCTCTTGGCTGAGCTTAGACAAGCTCACGACACCGAACTCGAGACTTTCCAACATGATCTCAAAGATGATCTCAGGCTCTAAGCAGCCATATCACACACTACACGCAATTCATTCAGCAAACTTTCATCAACCAGCAGCAGTGAGGAGTCTGTCACACCAGACGAGCGAAACCTCCCCGCCAGCGGACGCATTCGCCGGCGAATGGAGGTTACCAAGGTCCAGCTACTTCAAGCCGAAGAGAGAAAAGCGGCAAGAAAACATCTCAAGGATGAAATTCATGGACTAAGGAAAGAACACGGAGATATAGTCATTCCGGAGAGAAATGGGGGTATTACAGAAGCCGACTGTCTCAGCGAGATTAACACGATTCTGTTTGACTGGGGTCTCGCCAATGTCAAGTCCGAGGGAGGAACTCATCCATGGGAGGACGACTTGGAGAGCATGGTCTCATATTACGTTCAGCGCAAACAAGAGGAGAGGAAACGGCGTCGAGAGGATCGTTCGGTGTCTTAGACCGAACCCGGAAGTCTATCGGCAAGCACTCGGCCGAGAAGGCTCTACACCACACCGGAGCTGACAGTAGCATTAATGACAGTACGTCTGAATCAATTACATGAGATATTGTCATCAATGATCTCGCCTTTACATATCCTGATGCCTTATCGAACCAAGGGTCGTCCCAAGCCATGCCTGAATCGTGTGCCACCTCGAACGCGTGAAGTCGGAATAAGCGTTCATCTCAGAGCTCTTCTGACACGTCTCAGTCATTGCCATCTTTAACCGGACTCTTAACATCTGGCTCGCCAAGTGAATGGTTCCCAAAATGTCTGATGTGCGTGTTCCAAGAGTGTGGGTGACCTCGAGGACGTCAGCCAGGGTGTGCTTGATCCACTCGAAAGGACGGTCTCGACCTGAGCGAGATACTCAACGGCCATCGTGCAGTCAGTGAATGAACTTATTCAGAGTTTCGGGACGAATGCTATTTCTGGCAGGCCGAGGCTACAAATCCCTTGATATTCAGGGGCCCGAAGCTTGACCCGATCTGTCCAATCTTTCCGGACGAGAGAGCTTGGGTGCCAAGGGATTCCTCAGCAACCACCCAACCTGGGATCCCTTCACTACGTAATTCACTATGTGAGAGTCTCGTAGGCGTGGAGCAGCCCTCTGGTCCCATGGTCTCATCAACAATGGGAAGTCCCACGCGTTGTAAAAGCTTGAATGAACCTCAGGAACCTGTGCAATACCATCCCTCGGACAGGAATCCCGCCATTGACTGTCCGGAAGACAATGGTTTAGGTTTCGGCGCTTTGACCACGTCATCAAACACGATTCAGTCCTGTTGCAAAGCTTCCGGGTTCAATGGGCGCCAGCTGGGATACGTTCAAGGCGTGAGAAATTCCCAAATGACTCGACGCCACCACCATCACCCCCGTTTGCCTGGCTAACGCTGTCGTCACTGTCCAGCCACCCAGTCTCCCAGTTACGGATTCCCTCCTTCGTTGCGTGTTGGAGCCATTTGCTGAAAGTTAAAATCCTCGAGAGGTGGCCCCCGCACGCCCGGTGCCTCGGATCAGGGAACAGCTAGCCTCGATAGACGCCAGGCCGCGCCCTAATTAGCTGTCTCTCCTTTATGCTCAGCCAACGACCAGCAAGCGATCGCCTGTTCAAAAAGGTGAACGAAGCCGCGTTCCCGAAGGACCGAAGAAGCCGTCGCCATCGTCGGTATCCCACGAGCTCCCACTCATCAAACCAATGTCAGATTGAGCTCACCGCAGAGCTGGCTTAACGTTCCATCTTTTCGCAGAAGTGGTGGGGGGGTCGGGATCACACCAGGGGTTCATCGCCCACAGAGGACCGGAGCCGACGGATACGATGGGATGTCGCCCGTCAGCGAGCTGCTTCGCCTGCAAGGCGCGCAAAGTCAAAGTACTCAGACTCCGAACACCTACTGCCGACTCTTGAGCCGGTTCTTTGAAGTGAATTGAATCTAACGCGAGCTGCCAGTGCGATCTCCGAAAGCCCTCATGTAACCGCTGTACGAGTCTCGGGAGGGCGTGTCCGGGTTACGCGGATCCGTGGGCCGTTGTGCATCGCCAGCAGAACGCATCGGCGGCTCACCAGGTCCAGGTTAGGGTCGCCAAACGACTGAAGGAAAGAGGCGCATTTGACCCAGCGTCATCAATTTTGGAAGTCGACGAAGAGGGAACCTCTCCGGACTCAGTAGAGGAAGAGGAAATTCAGAGGAGGCTGCGGACCGTACCGAAAGCCTTTCAAGTCGATTCCGAGCTCATCTCACTTAACCACTTTTACTCCAACTATGCATCCGGAGGCGAGGTCGCTTTGTTCAACCTCTTCCCCAGCATGAAGTCGTCGGCTGCCTCATCGCCTGTTTTGCAGGAGGCTCTCAAAGCCACGGCATTAGCCAGCTCCTCTTTACAAATGTGCCAGGCAGGCTTGATGGCTCAAGCGCGGCAACACTATGGCAAGGCGATTAGCAAGATTGGCGGCGCACTGAAGGATAACTCGACAGCGCAAGACGACTCGGTTGTTGTCGCATTACTCACTCTCGGCCTCTTCGAGGTAAGTAAACTGAGGGAGGCTGGTGAAGGAGACGTACACCGATGAGGATGAATCTTTCGACGTGAGACCCTAACATACTTCAAGGCAATAGTACCGGATACATCACCAAGGAAGATAACATCGCATTGTCGAGGTTCTCTCGCACTCTTGAGGTATCGAGCAGAACAGGGTGTTGCCACATCACTCGATAAGGGCCTACTTGCGTTTGTGGTTCACCTGGGGGTAAGTATTCTTGTAATGACAAGCTAGTCACGGCCGGTCACTAATCTACCTCAGATGCTCGAAATATTCATCGGCCAGGAAGGTCGATCACCAGTTCTAGTCGGCTTGAAACAAGCAGCATGGGCGAAAGACGGCATGGTTGAACCGCTGCTCGTTCGAGCTATCGACTACAAACACATGATCCAGCACGTGCTATCATCGGCAGATATCGAACGAGCATCCGTCAGCCACGTAACAGAGATCTTCCAGATAGGTATCGACATCATACGCGACATAGAAGCAGCCGCGAACTACAGAATCTTATCCCCTGGGCCCCGGAATAAACCCGGACCTGACGGCGCTGTCGACGAAGACCTGAACTCTTTCAACCACTTGTTGGGCCGTAAATCGGACGCAAGCGATGCGATAGCGAAAGGTCTTTACCTCACCATCAGACTACACCTCATCGAGTACATTCTAAGCTTATCAATTGCTCTTGGAGAACCGACGCGTGAAGAGTTGAAGACGCTCGTCAACCTCCCTCATGGACTGACGGCGATGGAGCAAGTTTGCGAGCAAATCCGTATTGTATTCGGATTCGATGGCAGAGATTCAGCCTGTACCATACAGGGCGTTGGATTCAATGCTTGGTGTATGTTCTGGCCTATGATAGCCGTGCTCAAGTCGGCTTTTGCCGACAAAGACACGAAGATGTGGATCATGGACAAGTGTATGGCGGTAAGCCAGGCGTCAGGCTTTGGGATGGCGATGTACCAACAGGGTTGGTTCGAAACAGATGGTGCCAAGGATTAGACGGCCATCGCAGAGTAGGATTGGTGTTATGATTCCCATCGAAACGGCGTTGGAGTCTGTATGTATGGAGACCACATCATCCACGCACCTGGGCATCTCAACTTCTATACGTGCGGGAGCTTGGTTGAACGAAGAAAACACGAGTACACAATAATGAGCAACGATGTTTTCCACATACGTTCCATACACCCTTGGACACTACATAGCACCCACTCTACACGCCGTACACGATTTCGGGAGGTCTCTTAGGAACGATGTAACACAGATGAGCGATCCTCTGAAAGGTAGATGGACCAACTTCACTCACTACCAGCCTCATCCAGCCGACGTTCTCCCCGGTGCATCCCTCGAAGGCTGGGAAGCTGAAGTGTTCTTCGATGACACATATATTCTCTCCGTGGTAATCCTCCAGACGCGCGTGATGCCAGTCTGCGTTCACCAGGTTGATGTGTCCACGGACGTAGAGGTTCGCTTCGGCCGACGGCAGCTCCTTGTACACGAAGCTGCGCAATGATAATTCGTCGACTTGCACGAAATATTCATTATGCATCGTTATGTCAGAACTGCTCTCTAAGCTGGGAGAGCTGGACTCTCGGGGCGGTTTCTCTGATGAACTCTCTGCCTGTGCTGGTTGCTTTACCCATTCGTAGAAATGAGAGCGCAACGTAGCCATGGAAGCGCCATCAAATCGTTTTTTTGTCCTCTAAGAACGTCTACTTCATCTTGTCAAGAATCTGGCTTGTCGGGATGTATCGTTGATGATGTCTTTGAAGCGAGCCCAAGCGTCATCATCGTTGTATGTACACCTGTAGAACACTCAGCCCCATTTGTCAAAGTCCTGGGTCTCGTCTCTTAGTAGCTCAGACTCGTAGAGTATGTCCATCCTGGGCTTAGAACCTTTCGCGTCGTTTGCTACGTAGCGGTAGCCGCCAAGGGCTGGTGAGAGACGACGAACAGGTAGAAATCGTCAATGCGAATGAGACACCCTATTGAGCGAGCGAGCTGTGATCGTACATTGGCAGCATAGAGTATTCAGATTTAGCAAGAGCCTGGAAAGAAAGCTCATCTTGCGAGCGTCTTCATGAGCATGAGGAAGTTGAGAATGAGATTGAGGTGTATTGTCAGGTTCCCCCCCCTCGACCTAAGCCCCCTAAGATGTAGGGAAGCGGCGTTTGGATGAGCTCGTCGCCTTGGCGCCGACCCCTGTCATTTATGGACCGTTCTTTGAAGATGGTTCTGCTACCGGAGCGTGCTCATCGCTACCTAGTACACAAGACTGGATGACGTTGCGGTTGTTGTAAGGAATTCGCGAAGCTCTTCACAGCTTTCTTACCAGTACACCTTCCCGGGCGGGCGTTGGTAGAAAACATACCAAGTGCTGGCATCGCCGCCGATACTGCCAAGCCATACCTCATACCAGTCGGAACCCATCGTCTCAGTAGACACCTTCATCCATCCGACGTTCTCCTCTCCGCACCCCTCGATAG